CAAAGAACGGAGAGGGGTGTCAAGCTTGCTGCATTGAGGGCCTCCATGGCATAATTCTCTGTTTATCTGCTCTCAGGGAAACGATGGAGAAACTTGAACCACCATCAAAAAATGGGGTGCTTCTGCAGAATCTGTTTTCTTCCTGAAATTGATTGGATGACAAGCTTTGCTGCCTTAGCTAAAGTGGATACAAGGCTAGTTGGTGGTGACTTTGAGTAGGAGGTGGTGCTGACCTGGCATGAGATACAAGATTTCTTCCATTCTTTACGTGACACGTGGCAAGTGAGATGATCTTGTCCGTAGATGGATTGACTGGTTTAACGAGGTTGTGTGGCTGAGAATGTCTAAGAAGCTTTTAGAAACTCCAAGATACACACATCAATATAAAGAACCGTACACGACTTGGCAATAGTGCAGAATACTTGATTTAATACAGAAATTAATACAGTAATGTGAAGATTAGGAACATTATGTTTACAGTTTACACTACATTGAAAAGGATCAAAATTGGAGTTACAGAAGATCAAAAAAGTGATCCAAACCCTGTCCGATTTCCCATATTGAAATGCCAGTTCCCCATGAATGAGCTTCTTCTAGTCTCAGGTAGATGGACATTAATGTTGGGTAAAAGACGGCATGGTTGATATGATTGTCATCGGAATATAAGAAGAAATGCTCTCCGCTGTTCTTTTCCCACTGCAATGTGGGCTTGTGCTTCTCCAACAATGATATGTAATCCCTTCCCAGGATAGGTCCACCCCCAGAACCTGCAATATATGAAAAAGGGATGGCCTTTTTAGCTAGATTCTGATAAATATCATATTATGATTGCTAAACTCTGCCCTAAAGCAAGTGAATGTATTTCTGAAGATAACTATAGATGGCTGGACTAAAGCATTCTTACACATGGGGTGCCTGTGGTTTAGACTAATTATTATGTCCCGATGGAGCTCATATCTTCCCTACAGCTCCTATCTTCCCTACAGCTCCAGGGGAGGAAGAGAATGAATCAGAAGTGACAAATAGTGCATGCCTAAGGTGTATGGAGATGCCAGGGCAATAAAACATAGATGACAGAGCTTCCTATTGCGTCTTCTCTGCATCAGAGAGTAAGGCTTGGAGGATTTATAAGTCCAATGCATCATCCTCTTTGGCGTGATAAAGGTGACATGTTATACATAATTATGCAAGACCTAAAGAAATCATTGGAAGTAGATCAGGAAGAAATGATGTTATACCTCCAGAAAGGGTGAAATCATTCCCATAAAAATTGATGCCAAGAAATATCTTATGAGCCAGGCTCTGAGCAGCCTTGCCAGGGGGACCAAGGAGTGACTGCAAGGTGAAGCGTATCCATTGCAGAGGTGCATTTGGACCTGGGTTATGAGGATTTGAGAAGTCATAGGTCATAAGTGAGAAACCATCTACAGCATCATCCAAACTATGAAGATCTTTGGGCCCAAAATCATGCTGCTGAAGCTGCTTTGAATGTGGTGGACCTAAAACGTACACCAACTGCAATTTTTGCTCCTTATTCCTTGTTGAGCTCACGGAATGCAGTGCATCCCCAATTAGTTTTATGAAATTTAGTGCCTAAGGATGCAGAAATTAAGAAAAAAAGGAGCCTTAAAAACCCCCAGTATAACCAGACAACTATAAAGTTTAAACACAGAAGGAAAATCATGTCTATAATTACCATATTCCTCTTGTCTGGATCATGGAGAATACCATATGCAGCCCATCTTGACCAAGATTCTAGCACAATGCCATCATACTGCATTTCCCTATTCATTGCAGGAAAAACCATAGAGCAGTTATCTTAGGAATTCGGAAATGGTGAAATAAATAATCTATTCATGTGCAATACCAGTCTCTTCTAAGCCTCCAAGACAAACTTATGAAATTACTCTTTAATCTCACAGCTTACAACAATGTAAAAGCTATACATATAAATATCAGAAATGGAGGCTTACTTGCATTCTTTGACTATCAATTCAATAGCTTTATCCCTCTGTTTCTTCTTTCCAAGCAAATCCATTGGAGATGCTTCGAGAACAACTCTAGGTAACACCTATAATAAGAAAACATGAATTTTTCTCAGTGAAGGAGGTATCCAGAAGATTGAAAACATATTTAACCACGACTAAGCAATGTTTTTGACAACAGAACAACACAAATTCAACAGTGTTAAAAGTATACAATTTTTATACAAAAACTTCTTCCAATTTCTCAAGTGACTGACAAAATTCTAAGCTTTTCAATTACCAGAGCATCTCCATTCATTTTAATCTCAGATATCCACTCTTTATCAGCATTATGTCTCCCCTCCAGAACCAAGCTGCTTCCTTGGCTGCAAATATACAGAATTATGAACAACACAAAGAGAGGAAAAATAAAACTTATTTTATCTCTTTCTCTAGATTCAGAAACAATTAATCCAGGATTGCCAAACCAATACCTTTTCAGATCATACCAGACCGGTGATAAATGGGTAAACTTAGCAGTCAATCTCTTTGCAATTTCATAGCCCCTAGAATTCCTGCAAAATTCAGCAGAAAAGCACAAACATATTCATCATTCTCCAAAACTCACAATCAAAAATCACAAAAATTTAGAAAAAAAAAAAAAAAAAGTTTTCTGATACAGCTGAAGATGAACCTAACCATGGAGTAATGTAGGCTAAAACAGGATAACTATAACGCCGTTGTGATGCATTCTCTGTTAGCTTCGAATGCTCCTAAAATACTCAAGAAAACAAAAATACAGAAAATACTGGGATTACAGCTTATTGATACAATACATAAGCAAAATTGAAGGTACAAATACAGTACTTACGGAGAGGATCTCTTGGTAATTGACGTCGGCTTTGATGAGTCCTCGCTGAGGTACGAAAGATTTCGTACGGTTCGTCGGCGGAGCTGTGTAGATCCTGTATACGAGTACGGATACGGAAGGGACTATTATGAAGAAGAAGACAAATATGGC